CACCACATCATCCCCCCACCTTCCACTTCCATCTTTTTCTCTCTCCCACCCATTTCTCTCTTCTCTCCTTCACCTTTTTATCCCCTTTCCCCCCAACTTCGAAAATTTCTGTTTTTTCCTTTTTTTTCTTTTTATCTTCTCTTGATCTATATTCCCTCTCTTTTTCCAAAAAAAAAAATTCGAATTATCTTACTCCCCACCCTCTTTTCTGATTTTCTGATTTATTTCATTTTTTTTTCTTTATTCTGAAATTCGATTTTTTTATGGCAACCCCTGAATCTAATTAGGTGTTAGTCTTTCTTGCTTTCGGCACACGTTTTGACCCCGTAGCGGTAACGAAGTGCTGCCGAAATTTTCTGATTTTCTCTTACTTAGTCTCTTTCGGCACACTTCGACCCCATGGGGGTAACGAAATGCTGCCAAAATTTTTGAAAAATCAGATACCCCATCCCTCTCCACCTCCTCACCCACTTATTTATTTATTTATTTATTTATCTATTTATTTATTATTTTTTTATTTATTTTCTGAAATTTTTTATTTGCGGCAGTTTGAAACCTAGTGTGCTTATTTTGGTCTCTCCTTTCCCCTTGGCACATTCTTGACCCCATGGGGGGTAGGGAAATGCTGCCGAAAATTTTAAAAAAATAAATATTATTTTTTTTTTCACATTTTGTTTTCTTCTTTCTTTTATTATTTTTATTATTTATTTTCTTTTGTTTTTCTCCTGAAATCTCGCTGTTTATTTATTTTTCTCCCGCCTTCCCCCCCCATGCGTGCTATTTTATTTTCTTAATTAGGTCACCGGTACCATACCCTAACCACTCAAACTTCGGTTAGGACTTTTTTAGGGTTTTTATAGGGTTTAGGGTTCTTCAAACCCCCCTACTTCCCCGTCCTCTTCGGGCACCCTGGACCCGAACCACCCCTCCCCCTTTGACGGCGCCCGCGCTAGCCTTGCTAGCGCCGTCCGCCGCCTTCTACCGCGGACCCCCCCTTACGCCCTCCGCTCACGCGGACCTCCTCTGGCCCCCTCCAGTCAGGTCCGTCACCTCCCCATGGCCGACGGTGTGTCACACGCCGCCGACGCGGCGACGACCACGGCAACGGGCTCCACACCCGTGCCGGCGGACCAGGGCCATCAGCCCCAGGGGGATCTGCACACCCTCCTCACTTCCCTCCTCGCGCCCATTCAGGCACAACTCGGGGTCCTCGCGCCCTTACAGGCGCAGGTGGCAACCCTTGCCGTCGGCATGCAGCAACTCCAAGACGCTGCCTGCCCTTCATCTCCTGGCTCCCTGTCCGGGTCCCCCGTCCTCCGACAGGGTGGCCATGGGGGAGCTTCCTCCTCCGCTGCCCCCGACTGTCCAAGCCCTAGCACGACGGCCGCCACGAGCCAGGCCTTCCCTCAGTCTACGAGCGCACCCGCCCAGATTCCGGTCACTACGGCCACGGGACCACAACCCGCTACCATGGTCTCAGCTTTTCCGGGTGCCCCGCTTCTCCCTCCCCTTCGCACGACCATAGCGCCACCTGACTCTCCCCCCTCTGGGATGCCCTGCGCCGCTTGTGCATCCACTTCCTCCGCTCTTCCTCCTGCCACTCCTCGCTTGATCCACGTCCAACGTCTCGAGGACGAGCTTACCCAGATCTGGGCCGACCTCGCCATATTACGCCTTCAGCCACCCCCACCCTCACAAGTGGTCGCGCCTTTGGGCACATCCTCTACCTCCTTTACCCTTCCTCCCATGCACGCTCGCTTCCGACGCCCTGCACCCTATCCAGCCCCATCCTACCTTCTTCCTACTTCCGCGGTTGTTGCGATCTCTTCTACTGCAACTCCCTCGCAACCTGCCGCAGTTGCCCCCACCGCTCCCCCATGCGGCCCGGTCGCACAGTCAGCTGCGCCCCTTTCTCCAGGACTTGCGCCGACTTACTCAGCCGTGACACAGGCCTCTGCTCCTCGATCCCCTCTCCGCCAAAACGGTGGCGCACCACTCGTCCGCTTGGCAGACATTGCCCTGTATGACGGTACAGGCATACGCGTGTCTTGGTGGCTGCAGTCTTCCACCTGCACGCTCCAGCTCATGGGCGCCACACCCGACACGTGGGTGAGTCACCTCTCCACGCGCTTGCGTGGTGGTCCTTTCGAGGTCTGGGTGGATTTCTCCGCGCACTCCCTCCACGCGGGTCGGACCCTAACCTTCATGGATTTCCAGGCGTTCCTCGAGGATCGCTTCGGAGCCCGACATGACGTGACTGACGCCTTCGAGCGTGTCGTCACTACACACTGGTCCAGCTCTGGTGGCGCTGCCGGCCTGGATCGCCACATCCAGGTCTTTCAGGACGCCCGCCTCGTTTGCGACGTGGCGTTCCTCCCCGAGACTTCCCTTATCGATTGCTTCTTGGCCAGCCTCCCGCTCGAGTACCGCTCCGAGTTGAGGCGGTACGAGTTCACATCGGCCCCGTAGGCTTACGAGGCCGCCATGGACCATCAGCGGAGGCGGACCCGTCTTCACCAGGCCTCCTCCTCCCAGCCTCAGCCCACGGGCTACGCCTCCTCCTCCTCCTCTCATGACACTTTCCAGCGCCGTTGTCCTTTCCGCGGTCGCCCCCGCCGTTCCGCACAGCAGGGCCGCCACTTCTCGCGCCGCTTCAGCGCGCTTGACTCGGCCTGAGTATGGTGAGCAGGACGTTGGTGCTCCGCTGTCGCCAAAGGGTGACCAAAGCGACGACCTCGACCTCGGTGAGGCCATCCACTACCACCTGGAGGACTCTACTCTCCCTATGGCCGAGCGCCTCCAGCTCATCCTCTCCGCCCTCTCTCGGGCACACTGGCGCGTCGCCCCTGAGGTCCCCCAGCAGGACCTCCCTCAGGGCTTTGTCCCTCCTCGCAGTGTCCTTTCCGCTGATGAGCGCGCGGCTATTTTGGGCCGGCGTGAGTGTTTGCGATGCCACCTGGACGGTGATACCTCCTCGCGGTGCCCTTACACTGATGCCCTTGACCGCCACTACGCTGACCTTTCCCGCCAGCATCGTGCTCAGTCCCCCCCCGGCACCTCGCATCCCCGCGGCGCCTCCTAGCCACGGTGCAGTGTACACCTGCGCCCTCCTCAATAGTCGGTTTCCCGATATCCCCGTCGCGGTTTGCCCCTCTCGCTACTGGAGTTGAGGTCTCGCAGGACCCGACAGAGTGTACTCATCCCTCTGTCGCAGTACCGTTCTCGCCTCCGCAGACCACCGTCTCCCCTTCTACCCCTCCGCGACTACCGATGCGTCGAGCCATTCGCTCAACCCGTTGCAGCGAGCAGCTCGTTACTCGCGAGGACGTTGTGTCCTCTCTTCTGGACTTGAGCATGCTCCAGGCTCGTCAGGAGCGACTCACCCTCCATATCGCTACACTGCGTCGCCTTCTCACCATCCTTTCTGACCCTGATCGCACCCTCCCGATCATTCCAGTACGACTGGGGACCTCCATGAGGGTGTACTCAGCGCTGTGGGATTTCGGTTCTCAGGGCGACTTCATTCACCCACGTGTGGTGAAAGAAGCCCGCTTACTCACGACAGGGTCTCCGACTCCCATCTCCGTCACCCTAGGGGATGACAAGACTCAGCGCTTCTTCGATCAGACGGTCACCGACCTCCCTTTCTTCCTCACTCTCGAACCGACTGATCGTCCCCCGACGTCTCGTCGCCACCGCTCCTCCGCACACTTCGATGTGATGGAGACGGGGTACGACTTCATTCTCGGTACTCCGTGGTCTCGTCGGTTCCGCAGCACCGAGGCCGATTGGGCGACCAACACTCTCGTTCTCAAAACGAAGTGTGGACAGACGTATCTCGTACCTTTCATAGGTACCACTGCGACACCATGCCCCGATCCTCCTCCCCCGAAGCCTTCCGTGCCTACACCATCTCCTTCTATCACTGTCGCCTCGCCTCGACAGTTCATCCGCTTCATCCGACAGGACGACGTCACCTTGTTTATGGTGAACGTGACGGATCTCTTACACTATGATGCACCCTGTCCCGACGCCGAGCTCATACTTCTGGAGCCAGATCCTCCTTCTATCTCCATGGCTCCCATCTCTACTTCCGCCCCTCCGCTGTTCGTCGAGTCCACCCAGTCGTCGTGCACTGACGCTGACGCTGAGGAACTCGAACGCTATACGGCCGACCTGAAGCCCGCAGTTCGTAACCTCATTCGACAGTACCACGACGTTTTTCCATCGTCGTTCTCGTACGCCGGCATCCCACCGATGCGCGACGTCGAGCATTCCATCCAGCTTGTGCCTGACTATCGTGTTCACCACCAGGCACCCTACAGACTCTCGATCCTCGAGGCCACGGAACTCAAGCGTCATCTTGAGGAGCTCCTTAGACTGGGTTTCATTAAACCCAACAACTCCCCGTGGGGTGCACCCGTCCTCTTTGCTCGCAATGCGGATGAAACTCTTTGTCTCTGCATCAACTATCGCGGTCTCAACCGCTACATGGTTAAGAACAACTACCCCATGCCTCGTTTCGATGAGTTGTTCGACCACCTAGCAGGGAACCGCTTCTTTACGAAGATTGATCTTCGTAGCGGTTACCATCAGATCCGCGCCGCTGCAGCGAACCAGCCGAAGACAGCGTTCCGATCGCGCTTCGGCCACTACGAGTTTACGGTGATGCCATTCGGCCTCACCAACACACCCGCTACCTTCAAGAGGGCGATGAACAACATCTTCAAGGACATCCTGGAGCAGTACGTTCTCATCTACCTCGACGATATCCTGGTTTACAGTCGTATACTTGAGGAGCACTTGAGACATCTTCGCGATGTCCTTGACCGTTTGCGCAGACATGGCTTCTATGCCAAGCTGAGTAAGTGTCGCTTTGCACAACACAAAGTGGATTTCTTTCAACAGAAAAATTGTCACCGGATTTCAAAAAAATTTCATTTTCATTTTCAACTTTTTTTGCCCTCAAGGGTTGTGACCAACTGTTGAAAGTGGGTGTTTGGTTGTGTTTAACTTCTTTTCAACATGTTCTATTTCTTATCAACGAGTCCAACATGGATTCATACAGACCTCCAACGTTTTTTCGAACAAGTTTTCAACATGGTTCAACATGGTTGTTAACGTGTATTTTGACACATAATTAATTGTCAGGTACGTGCGAGTGCGTTTTGGTTCAATACTGAGGGTCAATCTTGTGCAATTGTACGTTTTAATGGTGTTATTTGACTCCGACTAATTGTTCTTCCAACCTTTTGCTTGTGCCAGATGAGTTGCACATATTGTTGTGGCACATATCCGTAATGTGTGGCACTGCGCAGTTTCATTGCATGTATGTACGTACGTTGCAAGCACTGAGTAGTCGTGTGTGTGCGTTTATGTTCAATACTACGGACGAATATCGCACACGAGTGTGTTTTCGTGGTGTTATTTCACCCTCACTACCTATTGTGTCAACCTCTCACTCATGTCGCTTAAGTTACACGGTGGGTTGTATCACATATCCACATTATATCTTGTCGTCCTTCCATGCATGTACAAGGACTCACATCAGTAACCGACCGTATTCAACACCGTGTGGGTTGAACTTGCGCGTCAATTTTTTTAGCGGGGAGTTCATGCATATGCAAAACCGGTGACATAATGTACTTATCTATCTATCTATCTATCTATCTATCTATCTATCTATCTATCTATCTATCTATCTATCTATCTATCTATCTCCCTTAATGTTATTACCGTTTCACACGACTCACACTTATGATGATGTGGTTGGGAAGTGGGGGCCATGTATTAAGACATTGTTGGTCTATTCCGCCGTAAGTGGCACCCAGTTCCCAATCGTGTTGAATGTGGGGTTTTCTTGTGTGTCTTTCTTGTTCACATCGTATTGCAACAACATAAAAAAAAAATTGTGTTGATTTTCGGGTCAAGCCAATGTTAAAGTCGAACACAATCACTGTTAACGTAGGGCATACTCACACTAGGGGTCTAATTCTCAAAGTTGCAAAATTTGATAATGTTTTGCAGTCACACTTCCCCCCACCCCCAACAAAATCACAAACAACGTAGTATTTGTCAGCGGCCTGTGGGCCGCGAGGTTTAACAAATTGTGAGAACCTCTTGAGGTCCTCGCAAATTAGCAGTTGATTTTTGTAAAAAACAAATAAAAAATTCTGCACAGGCCAGAAAACGCAACTTGTGCCTACTACGGTCCAAAATTGCTATGTTCAGTTGCCAACGGGACAGTCATACGGCGCTTGTATCATTTTTGGCGTCATGCACAACTGAATGCCCGTGTGTAACGGGTTTGTTCGTAGTGGCGGAGTCCTTTCCGCCCCAAGGTGAGTTTCGTACCCGCTTACGCTGCCCTTTCGCCCTCCTCCGCAATTTCTCCCCCTGTTCCCATATGCGAATAGTCTTGCCCTCCGCAAGATTAGTCAGGCCCTCAACAAGAATAAACACAGATTCCGTTGCCCTCCGCGAGGTTTCAGGGCTTGAATGAGCATATGTATGCGGGCAGGTGCAAAAAACTGTGTTGCCATCTCTTTTTCTACCAGGGCTTGAACGAGCACATGTATGCGGGCAGGTGCAAAGAACCGTGCTGCCAACTCTTTTTCTGCCTTTCAACAAATGGTAACGTGGATTCGAGTGCTTAACCGAGAGAGGGATGTTGGAAAGGTGGTTACAATCTGTGTTGTTTTTATGTTGTCTCAAGAAGGGGAACCTAACCACCTTTTCGACAATTGATCCCTCTTTTTGTGTGTGTGTGTGTGTGTGTGTGTGTGTGTGTGTGTGTGTGTGTGAGAGAGAGAGAGAGAGAGAG